ATTCAAATTGGGTTCTAATTTCTTCCCTGGTATGCCCCGCCCGTCCTCTCTCTTAAAATCACTCGTTCGTAGGCCTGCGGGGCGCGCTTTACACTTTCCCCAGACGACATCACGACACAATCCTACCGAATTGGGTAACTGTCGTAGGTACCCACCAGTGTTTCCTTGTTCTTGAATGGGATCCACTTCGCTCGTCTGCAAAAACGCAAATATGGCGACAAAGCGGAAGCCTAAGGGCACGGTTCATTACATAAAGTTCCTTTCGTCTCAAGCAATACCAAGTGAGCTGTTTGTACCTGAAGTTGGGTGAGGGCTGATTGAGTTGGAGCCAAGTCACGACCAGCCATTCCACGAGGAACTTTTTGGTGAAGGAAGGTGAAGGACGCAATATGCGACCCGAGTCAGAATAATGATTATAACCCACTACTTATTTCGTGAAAGTAGGGGTGATTAACTTCATTTTGGCTCATTTCAGTCACTTGGTCAAAGTTGCTATCGGCCGAGTCATCACCTTCAATCGCCTGCATTCCCGCTAACTAGGGTTCGGAATTTAGCGCTAAAGCACTGGTTTCTTTTACAGGACTGTTTTAAGTGACATCACACACCGACCATACCCTCAGAACACACCTTCCCTTTGTCACTTGGTGTTTTGGGGATATAGTGCTCATTCTGCATATTTTGACTGTATAGTCCTCATTACTCGTATTTTGGCGTTGTTTAGCCCCATTTTTGAAATTTTCCGGGTACATTTCAAGGTCAACGCATATTTAAATTTGGGCAGATAGTATCGCCAGCAAAGACAAGGGGACTGGAATGGCCATTTCTGACTTATTTGCTATCGTCAGTCAGTCATACCGAGTCCCAAGTTGTGCACTACCCGAGGCTTGAACTCGTAACCTTTTTTGATCGGAGTCTAGCGCTCTAACTATTGAGCCGTGACCTCGTTGTCTTGCCCGTTTAGGTCGGGAGATATTGGCAGTCGTTGATGAACGTTCACCAACTGCAATACTATCCACCTTGACTACTAGCCGCTACGGCTGCTGCCGGGGCCCGAGAAATGAGGCAGATCGAGATAAGTGAGTTCCGTTAGCGGCCGGTGAACGTTCATCAAGGAGCGCAAATATCTCTCGACCTGAACTTTTTTAA